TCTCTTTATCAGGAAATTGATAATGTTTTCCCTGTACAATTACATTCATTTGGGAGGAGATGAGGTCTCATTCAGTTGCTGGTAAGTAAAGACTATTGCCATTATTAGTTAGCTAGTTTTATGCAGGCAGGGTAATCCTGACATACAAGCATGGATGAAGAAAATGGGTTACACTGATTATGCTAAACTTGAGGAATATTATGAAAACAAGTGAGAACCATTAGCATTGAATGAATGATTGTATTTCTATTGCAATTTCCTCAGTTTGATTGATTTGGTTAATAAACTGAATAAGAGTTATGTTGTGTGGCAAGAAATATTTGACAATGGACTAAAGGTATATTAGTACTGGTTTTTATGATAATTTACTATTTTTAATGTTTTACAGATCAAAATGGATACAGTTATTGATGTGTGGAAGGCAGGCTGGGAGAAGGAAATGGATGCTGTAACTAAAGCTGGTTATAATGTGATCCTGTCAACCTGTTGGTATCTGAACCGCATTAGTTATGGAGAAGACTGGAAGAGTGTAAATAATACATGTTCTTGTGTGGATTTTTATAAATGTTAAAGTTGCTCAGAAATCATGCAAAAGTCCCTGTATTATAATTTAGCCAAATTTTGCCAAAATTAAAAGAAGAGAATTCTTCAATTTTATAATTCTTCCTGATACATATACTTGTACTTATGCTGTGTAGAAAGTTTAAGGTAATTATGTTCAAAATTAATTTTTTATGAATTTTTTAAGTGGCTAAAAAATCAGACCAAAAACTCATGTTTTTCATTACTAAAATAACATATCTTGATTCTTTTCTTTTTTTACAGTATTACAGTTGTGATCCTCAAAATTTTAATGGTTAGTCTTTGTTCTTAATTTCATCAAGAGTTCATATGAAACACAATGATAGACGTTCCTAACTTCCTATTCTAATATATTATGAATACGCTGAGTTTATTTGACAGGTACTGATGATCAAAACTCTCTAGTAGTCGGTGGCCATGCTTGCCTCTGGGGAGAATGGGTTGATTCTACAAACTTTATGTCAAGAATGTGGTAAGTTGATTGTACTTTGCACTTTGCAGTTACCGCTAACTGCTAAACCTGACATTAATTTTTAATCTATATTTTAATCTTGTGTGTTTATTCAATCTTTCAGGCCAAGAGCATGTGCAGTGGGTGAGAGGTTATGGAGTCCAAAGACAGTCACTGATGTCAATGGGGCAAGGACTAGACTATTGAATCAACGCTGCAGACTACTGACGTTAGTAATAATAATAATGATAGATAAATTTCTTTTCCGTTTATAGTCGTGGTATTCGTGCTGAACCAGTTGGTCCCAGTTATTGCAATGATGAGTGGCATGGACCTTGAAGCAATTTTTGATGAACAACTGCTATTGTCTTCTTGTCTATGTTTGGTTTAATTAAAATAATTATAGCATGCTTCAAACCACGACAAAATGGCTCGATTTCTCTTGGTCTTTCTCTTTGCTGTTTCTCTTCGTCTCGTGTTTGGTGACTCCAGCACTACTTTAGACCTTCTCTGGCCCAAACCCTCTCAGTCTAAATTTGGTACTGAGGTCTATGAGGTAGACTCAGGAAATTTTGTCTTTAATACCACCAAGTGCTAGCACTCTCCTCAAATCAGC